GGGCGCACGTTGTATCGAAAGGAATTTTTTGCTCCAACCTCGCGCAAGACTTGCGTATTGCTGCGACTCTAATGAATAAAGGTAGAAATGTTCTGTAGACTTATCCGTTTCAGTTCGTGGATCATTATAATTTTGTTTTGAATTAGTATCATGTATTATGAATTTCCTTGCGATACCCAGCTTTGGAATATATGCTGAACCTCGTATGTCGTTTAAGCGCAGGTTGATTCCATGTTTGCGCGATATATTATTATTGTAGTATATTTCGTTTCAGAGTGGTTATACAATTTTTTTAAAATTTAAATTGTGAATTCATGTGATCTCCTTTTTTTCTGGATAGTATTCTGGATAGCTTTGTGCTGAAGTTTAAATTTCATACATCATTTTACATTCGCTCAAAATCTAAACTAATCTAAACGAATTATAACTAATGTTATAAATAGTTGGCAATCATTGAACCAACAAATAGAGTGCTTTTCTTTCTTTTTTTTTGGTGGTACTTCACCCGATAAAAGTACTTACAATATCCATCTATCTTTATTCCCTTAAATTTTATCAATGCTTCGAATATTTTTTTAAATTTAAATTTTTAATTTGTTCATTTTCTTTTGCGAGCAAATTATATTAATAATAGAAGATATAATTTTGACGAAAATAGTTGCATCTAAAATAGCAAAACGAATATCAACCTTGTCTTTTAACGTCTCCGCAAGTCAATAAACAATTCATTTGTTTTGGAAGATAATTTTGCAAAACTGATGTCGCCGCTCGATGTTTTCGAAACGTATAGCTAGTTACACATGAACTGTAAACTTATCAGACCAACACATCTGTTTATTTATTTTGGGTTTAAATAATAATTAATTTGCGTTCTTCGCAAGAGAGTTTTGGAGACGATTCGATGTAGAGATTTTCTCGTGTACAATGACGCTTATTTCCAATACATCTAGCGGCAAAAATTCATATCATGTTTTATGTTAAATGATTGTTAATGTGTAATTGTTGCTTTTAAATATATTTATAACTGTTAATAAGAACAAAACTATTCTTTTATTTTAGATAAAAAAATTTATTTATATGAAAATACTCAACATTTCCAGCATGCAGCTAGTAAAATGTCCTTGAAAAAAACAACAAATGTGACCATCAAATCTGAATGTATATTTGTTTGACTAATTAGCGCAGTATATATTAGCAAATGTCTAATGTGTACTTTGAGATTCTTTTGTTAATCCTCTTATTAATTTTTGGCGAATGTGAATTTTTACCTGGAAGTTCCCAGAATTTGTCGTACGCAATGAACAGTGTTCCTTTCCCCTTCACATTTTTGAGAGATCAACTAATATTTGTATCGTTGTGTATAAAAACTCAGTAAACAATTTTTTCATTGAGTATGTAGCTAGTGAACGGCAATGTCAAAAAATGCGAACCAATATCTTTGAAGCAAATGCCATGCTTGAATTACCATTAGCGAATGCACCGCCCTTGTCTGAGAGCGTAACATTATGCTGGAAGTTCCTAATTGTAATACTCAAAATTTGGGTAAAGACACAAAACATCGTCTAAATTCACTGCACGTCACAATTCACTTGAATTCGTTTTATTCCCTTAGTTTTAAGTGAAGCGCGAACTTTGCAACGTACGTTACTAATTACAAAAATGTTTCTCGGAGGATTAAATGAATTTTGATTATTGATACTTTAGAGGAAAAACGACTATGCAGTCAGTTGATTAAACCGCATCACGATAGCTAACGTACTTTCTATGAGGGTAAATGTGAACCGGTACTATAGAATACTACACGAGTCAAGTCATGAACTTCCTTCGCCTGTCTGTTCCCGCAACGTTTTCATTCGTGACATAAAATGTTTGTTTTCTACAGATGAATACTATTCATCTATCGCGTAAGAACATGGAAATGATCGCTTCTCAACTACAATCAGTCTTTGTTCTTGTCTCTCTGTCAGCCCTGCCTAAATCGATTTCGAAAAAGTAGCACGGCCGTTAAGGACAAATTACAGTGTGTACAAAGTACAGTGCATAGCCTTTCGGCACTATAACCATCTTCTCGGAATACATATCACTATTCAAATTATAGATATTACGGGGCCGGCTTCTGGGAGTTGTCACGCGGCGCCCGAGGCACGAGGCCCTGCGGGCGGAGGCGGTGGCGGCGGCGGGGGCGGGGGCAGTAGAGGGCGGCACTGCGGTGACGTTCCGAGGGCCGTTCTCACTGAACCGAAGCTGTGGAATTTTCAACCTAATTATCCCGCGGCGCGGGCTCGGAATCCGAGGAGCAGATTAGAAGCGGCATGAGCGGACCCTGCGCGTCTGGCTTGTTGCTGCTGCCGCTCCCACCGTCACCTCTTTCGACACCATGACAACAACCACCGCCAAACTGCCTCTGCCACTACCTCTGCCACCACAACTGCCACCGGCACCCCCTCCACCTCTACTGCCACCGCTTTTATTGTTACCACGTCTACTACCCCCACCACCACCACCAACAATAACAACCACACTCTCCAACAAAGTACTTGCACAACTTTTAAACTATTAGCAACACCATCAAATTACCACCAGGACCAACTCCACACCAAATTACCACTCCGCCCCTGCTAAACTACCACCACTACTACTACGGCAACTGCTACTACGGCGACTGCTACTACGGCGACTGCTACTACGGCGACTGCTACTACGGCGACTGCTACTACGACGACTGCTACTACGACGACTGGTACTACGACGACTGGTACTACGACGACTGGTACTACGACGACTGGTACTACGACGACTGTTACTACGACTAAATTGAAAGCATCTAATTTTATTTTCTTCTTGATTTTGGTTACATATGGTTACTATTTTAATAGTATTATCCGGCCTCCTACTCTGGTGATGCTTAGGACCCCCGAAGGCGTTCGTCCGGCCCTGGCCACGCGTAGTCGCTCCCACTCCTGCAACATCCACTGCGTGGTCGGCGAGGTTGCGCTGCGTTGCCCGCATTCCGGACGCTGCGGATGATCTTGGGGAGCGGGTGTGGAATGGAAATGAATCACGTGTCATGGGAACGTACTCTTGTTACTTTCCCGGAGTGCCGCGCGAGATTCTGAAATTCTCCGCGAGA